ATTCCATATCTTGTAAATATATTTTTAATTAAAATTTTTGAAACACTCCAAGCATCACATCTAGGTAAAATAATTGCTTCAATCCATTTTGAAATATAATCGACATATATATATATATATATATATATATATATCTCCAAATGGAGCCTTAGGCAATGATAAAGTTTTCATGTACCTAATAAAGTGGATAAAGGTTGCAGCCATGTTTTATTCGTTTGGTTTATTTGCATTAATTTGATACATTACTGTACCATGAAACTGACTTTCTGCTATCATCTAACTTTTTAGGGAATTATTGCATCTGCTCTGAATTACTGGTTATTGACATGGTCCAATAAAATAATTGGCCCTGCCCTGGTTGCTCTTTACAATCCTCTTCAACCAGCTGTCTCAGCATTGTTATCAACTCTATTTCTTGGCAGTCCCATTTACGCCGGAAGGTTCTCTTCCTTCACCTACTGTTTTTATTATGAATCTATGATAGGTCTGAGATTTTCCTTGTTTACCTTATTCACGTCAACTACTGCTGAAGGTATTTTCTATGGTGTTTTTTTTTTCACATTTATTTTTATAGTTTATTCACTGGCAAAAGTAATTATTTTTTTCTTTAGTTTTATTATTGCAAAAAAGCTTGCTTTTTTGTAATGGACTCGTCACAAAATTCTATAATTGTCCGGGTTTCTTTCTACAGCACCCTGAGCTTTTCATTTAGGCCGGCAGGCTCTTTTTGTTTACTTAAGCTTGTTGTTTAACTAGGCCTTAGAATAAGGAAAAAATATTACATGCAGATAAGAGAGGTGCGCATAGGTACGGATTTTTAAAATTTTATAGTTGTTTGGGTTTCTTTCTACAACACCCTGAGTTCATTTAGAACGGCAGGCTATTTTTGTTTACTTAAGCTTGTTGTTTAACTAGCCCTTGAAATGAGGAAAAAATATTACATGCAGATGAGATAGGTGCGGATAGGTAAAGATTTTATGGTATTGTGGTGGTATTCACCATAATATCACTACAATACCACTAATCCACATATGTGGATCCTGCACGTAATATTCGCTCAGGAAAAATAAGGACACCATTGCATGAAGGCTACTTGTTTGTCCTTCATTTTACAATTGAATTATCTGTGATAAAAGATTTTCTCTAACCAGCTAAAGCAGGTTCTAAAATTTATTGTAGCTTGCCATTGCAAATTTTGCGTTGCTGCCAAATCCTTCAGAAATCCACACAAGGATCTTTGTTCACCTCCCTTGGAGAAATTTTCCTGCAAGTTATGCGTAAGAAAATTTCGTAGGTCGGGCCAATTAAACAAATTGGCTAACGGAATAGTAAAATATATTTCAAGCCTATTTTGGTGCGATTTCATGCATAGCATCTATATTTTGACTATCTACAAAACTATCACCCTTCCAAATTCATTATTGAAATCCCCACTCAAATATTGAAATTAGAAGAAAAAAAATCTAACCTATATTTTTTGTTTTTATGAAATTTCCAATAATTTGATCATGGCATTCTTAAATACATGAATTTATTGGTTAAAATAAAAAAGATTTGCGTATTGTTTTTGTAAATGAGATATTTTTTTCACTGTGTATGTATCGATCGTCATGTATTCCCTTAACGGAAATCCTATATGTGTCGGTATGGTTTAGTATTTGAGTTGGAAGTATCTAATAGTAGTTCTGTGGCCCTTATTTTTGGTTTAAACTGTAGCAGGTACTTGTATGTATTAGAATCTCTTAGCACTTGAGTTGAATGTGTTTGTGTGTCAATATAACTGTGTTTGTGCTGAATATTTTAGATGGTATGATGTGTTTGCAGTATTATTGGAGGGCTTTTAATCATCTCTGGTTTATACTTAGTGACGTGGGCTCGATACAGAGAGAGTCAGGTAGCTGCCGGAACATCGTATGCAAAATTTGTTTCCGATTTTCTTCATGATAGGCTACCTCTTGTAACACGAGGGATTGCCTTCTCAACTTCATCCAAGGCATCGGCTAGATCTTTGAGTGAACCACATGAATCTTGAATGTTTGTGATTTCAAGGAATGATATGTTAATTGCTTAATTTTAATTGAGGAGAGAGGAATCTTCATCAGTATTGAACAATTAGTAACTCTGGAAAAAAAATTGAAAAATTCATACTACTGTGAAAAAAAATACCCATGTCTTTTTTTTTATTTTTATTTTTTTGGATCCTGGTTCATGTTTGGCTAGTGCTGAAAAGAATGGGCCGCAGAATCAAATTTAGGTTAAAACTGGCAATTTAATTGGCGTTATATTGTATCAAGTATACTGCATATATTTTAGGATTGCAAATGTGCATATTTTAATTTTTTGAAATCATTTTGTTGAATGTAAAATCTATGCAGTGAAATTATTATTTTTCACCTGTTGGATGTAACGCTTGTGCCATGGATCTCTTGCATCCTCTGTGAATAAGTGAGCATTTTTTAATAATTTAAAAAGATTTTATTTGTATTTATTTAAGTTTAAACTGAACGCAAAAAAAAAATTATAAAAATGCAATTTTGAACACCCTTAGAGGGATGTTGATCATCTTATAAATCATCACTATTTATGCTCTATAGGTGGCAGGATTGTCGATTTGGCTGCGCTTACAGAACTCCTTAAATCTGGGAGGTTTTTGTTTGTTAAATCCAGAGAGGCAGGCTGAAAAGGATTGATTAATTCTTATTTACATTACGCAAGTACAAAAGGGATAGCTTTTAAACCCATGGATCCGAGAATTCTTAGATGTCTTCCTAATATTTATTGTAGGATTAGATGTTCTCCCTGAAGAATATTAAGATCTTGTTGTAATTATAGATTGAGTCAAGGGTCACGTTTAGAGATTCTTCTGGGAACTGATGAATGGTTGAGTTCTACGGTTTTGAAATATTGAGAAAGAGGCGGGTTCATGGGATTGGTCTCTTTGGACTAGTTTGGTATTTTGGGAAACGTTTCAAGGAAAACTAGGACATTGCTGAACTGGTCTTATGATGATGATTTCATCAAACATACTCAAACAACAAAACATAATAAATACATCTAAGATGGACTGCTTATGCCATAAGATCTATATAAAATCTAGAAGCCAGACCGTATTAATTCAAATACATGCATTCACACAAACAATTGCATGATTGGATTAAATATTTTTTTGCTTTGATATGAGTCATGCCCTCTTTTCTCTCTTAGTTTTCAAACTTTAACCCTCATTGACGGGTTTTATTTCTCGGATGCAAAAAGTTAGAGTGTTTTGTCAGATAGTTGACAGCCAGCGTAAAATTTATCAAAAAATCATGACATGAATCTTTTGAATCCTTTAAATTCTTATGTAAATGCTAGGGCATCCCTTGAAAGCGACACTGTATGGCTTGAATGCAGTGAAAAGCATACACCGTCGCCTGGGTGTATTGTCAAATAACTAAGAGTTCTCACATTACAAACAAATGCGAGTAAAGATGTGTAGTCCATGAAACTAATATTATGATGTAATCTTGAATTATAGATATTCTCATAAGTAAATTAATGAAATTAGTTAATATTATAGTTCATATGAAGACAAATAATTTATGCATTCAAGAAAATAAATGAATTGGATAAAAGACTAAGGAGATTGATAGCTTAAGTTTAATTTTAGTTTTCAGGTAAAATTTGCATTAGAAATGGTGTAGGTGTAAGTATATATAAGAGTTTAAAAGATAATTTTGTAAAAATTTATAGAATTGGAGATAAAATTATAATTCTAAAGATTGTTGTTAATACTAAGGTTTTTAATTTTGTAAGTGTTTATGTTTTTCAAGTAGGTTTAGATATAGGTTCAAAAGAAAAATTCCGGATTGACTTAGAAGAATTAATGCAAAGATACCTCTTGAAAAAAGAATTTTTATTAGAAAATATTTAAATAAACATGTTGGTAAAGTGGTAAAAGATTTTAAAATTATTCATGCTGACTACGATTTTGAAGTGATTAATGAAAAAGATAGGAACATACTATTTTTTTCTTTAGTGTGTGATTTTGTTATTGATAATACTTTATTTAAGAAAATATATATGAGTATATTATTACTCATAAGAATGGTTCTAATAAAAAAGTAAATTAATTATTTTCTTATGAGAAAAAAAAATTATCAAGAGTGTAAAGATTGTAAGATCAGTGTAAGTGAAAATTTTAAGCGTTCAACATAGATTATTAGTTCTTGATTTTAAAATGAAGATTTGTAAGATAAAAAATAGAAAAAAATGTCATAGAATTAGACGGGGAACTTAAAAGACACATTAAATTATTTTTATGAGTAAACTTCAAGATTTCAAAATTTGGGATGTTCATGAAAAAGAGAAGTTTATGTGGGATAAAGTAATAAGTATTATAAAACAAATGACAAAAGATGTACTTGGAGAATCAAAAGTGTTTTTTTTTTTAAATATAATTAGTTAGTGGTAGAATAATAATGTCTGAGAAAAGATTAAATTTAAAAGTTGTGTTATAAAAAAAAAGATTTAAATATAAAGCTTAGGAAACTGGAAAAAATATAAGGTGATCTGTATGGAGTCTAAGAAAATAATTTGTGATGCTAAAAATTTTGTTTTTAGTGATCTTTATAATATATTAGATACTAAAGAGGGTGAAAAATATATTTATAAACTAGCCAAACAATGAAAAAAGATTTAATTCAAGTAAAGTGTATTAAAGATTAAATTCAAAATGTGATTTTCTTTTTAGGAAGATATTCAATATAGGTGGTGAGTCATTTTGATAAACTTTTCAATGAAGTTTTTGAAAATACAATTTATCTTAGTGATCTTAATATTGTTAATAATAATAAAATGTTTTATTTTTACCATCGCATTAATAAAAAAAAATTTGATTAGGCTTTAAAGAAAATCAAAGATGAAAACTCAATAGGATTTGATGATATCTCAATTGAAGTGTGGAAATATTAAAGAGATTTAGGAGTTTCTTGGCCTACTAAACTCTTTAATATTATTTTAAAAACTAAAAAGATGTCTGAGGAGTGGATGAAGAGTATTTTGGCCTCCATTTTTAAGAATAAAAGGGGTGCATAAGAGTTTGCAAATTATAGAGGAATTAAGTTGATGTGTCATACTTTAAAATTATGGGAAGGACTAATTAAACATAGGTTAAGATGTGATACAAAGATTTCTCATAATCAAATTGGATTTATATTGGGAAGGTCTACTATGGAAGCTATTCATTTATTGAGAGGTTTGATAGAGAAGTGCAAAGAGAATAGGGAGGATCTACATATGATTTATATTGATTAGAAAAAGCCTACAATAAGGTTTTAAGAGAAGTCCTTTGGAGAGTTCTACAGAAGAAAAGTGTTGATATGACATATATTCAAATTTTTAAAGATATGTATACGAGAGTTGTTACTTGTGTTCGAACATAAGGAGGATTGACCAAATATTTTCAAATTTCAGTTGGATTACATCAGAGATCGGCTTTAAACCTATATCTTTTTGCTTTAGTTATGAATGCTCTTATTGGGCATTTACAGGAGGTTGTGCCTTGGTGTATGATTTTCGCTAATGTTATCCTTGTGGATAAGACTAGGAGAAAGAGTTAAAAAAAAACTTGAATTATGGCGGCCTACATTGGAGTTTTAAGGCCTTCATTTGAGTAGATCTAAAACTGAATACATAGAATGTAATACGGCTGAGCATAATTTTGTGCATTGGGATAGCTCGTAGGTGGAAGCAAATGTGATTTGATTGCTTGACAATTTGATTGAGCTTTGGATGCTTGAGATTAGAGGGCCTATTATTGATGGTGACACAAAAATGTTATTAACTTCTACTTTCGAGACAACATGAAAGAAAAGGTTTGGCAACACCAACTCGACAATGGAAGGGACATTGCTTTCCTTGCAGATTTCAAACTTGTTCTTTCTTACACATAAAATGTAACAAGTTAGCTCACTTTTGCTCTCATCCTGCCTTGCATAGGTTTTTTTTTTTTTGGATGCTCACACTTGTTACCCTATGTTTTTGAGTGTAGTGAAGGCCTACTCCACCCACACTATATTTGTGTAGCTTTTATCGCTCTCTTTGTATTTTTTGATTTTTTTATTAATGTAAAATGCACACCCTTCATGTAATGTAATTTTAGTAGTAGCTTTAGTGACAGAGTTGTAACTATAAGCGATCAAATCATTAAAATGTGTGATCATTTTAGACATCTCGGATCTAGATGGGGATGTTATTAGTAGAATTCAAATTGGTTGGTTGAAGTGGAGGAACGCATCGGGCCTATTGCGTGATAGAAAAGTATCAATTAGACTAAAAAGAGAATTTTATAAGATGGTTGTGAAACCTACAATGCTCTATGATGTGGGATGTTGGCTTTTAAAAGAGCACAAAACAAAGCTTAGTGTTGATGAGATGAGAATGCTTAGGTAGATGAGTGGCTTAATACTGAGAGACAAAATACAAAATAAATATATTCGTAATAGGTTGGTGTAGCTCTAGTGGCGGACTATATTAGAAAGACACGTCTTAAATGGTTTGGTCACAGTAAACTTCAACCATTTGATGATCCTATTAAGAGAGTAGATGTTAGATTCGACTTGTGTTAAGAAAAACAAAGGTAAACCTAAAAAAACTTAGGTGTATTGAATAAAAAAGATCTTAATCTAGTAGAATTAAATGAAATATTACACTCAATAGGATGCAATAGAGAAAAAAAGATTCATTTAGCCGACTCTAATTACTAGGATAAAGGCTTTTTTATGTGTGTGTGTACCGCAAGCCGTGGCGCATTTGGTTGGTGGAATTTACTGTAAGTCCCCTCAGGTCACGAATTTGATCCCCCGTGGCGCGGGGTGCTCGAATAATAAGGTATATATATATATATATATATATATATATATATATATATATATCAATGTGCACGAGCACCCTCTTGGGTGGCAAGTTAGCAGACAGCTGCTTTGTCAGTCCTAAAACTCCTGACCTTGGTTTGAACCTAACAGGGACGGATAGCACGTGTGGGGAGCAATAATCACAAATACCACCCTCATATATATATATATATATATATACATACATACATACATACATACATACATACATACATACATACATACATACATACATACATACATACATACATACAACATTAGCAGTCCCAGTTCCATCATCCATGCTAAAATCAAATCTGAAGCTTTGAGCCTATTCTTCGCGTCGTGATATTTATACATCAAAATAGCAACTGCATCCGAGCTAGAAATTAGTTTTCATCTTATATTCAACCATGCAAGGACCCAGCGGAAACTTACGTAAAATAATCATTTTTACAAGTTATTAAAAGAATGTAAAAATAAGAACATTTACATGATCAATAGAAATATGCATAAACCAGATACTTAGCCGATGGAAGGCAACATGGGATCAAAGCTGACTCCAAATCCTCCAAAAGATCCAGGCTCGGCATGCTTTACTCGGCCAAAAAGTCGAATGTGACGCAGAAGCCTGGCTAAGAAAGTGTTGTGGCATATGGTTGAACTATCACATACAACTGCAACGTGTTTGCGTGCTCTTGTTATTGCTACATTCATTCTCCTACTATCGCCAAGGAATCCAACAGCCCCTAGCGTATTTGACCTAACCTATAACCATAGATAACCATAAAATCATAATAGATTGTAAAACAGTGAGGATATCAAGGATGCACAAAATGCTGCTGGAAAAAATTCTCTTCTATCAGGAGGAAATAACTTACAATGAAAAGACATTTAAAATGAACAAAGATGAGAATAAGAATTACATCTCAACTTGAGTTGCATATTCCAAGCAGGTAACATGGTTAGAAAATCAAACTGGTTTTTGCAGGTATCAACAATTCCCCATAACAGTCATTTAAAGACCTGAGGTATAAACCTTATAGTATTATAATAATAATAATAATTATTATTATTATTATTTAATAATAGGATTAACCCAAACAATAATAGGAAAACAAATATTAAAATATGCGGTTACAATCAAACACACTTGAAAGGAAAAATACAACACACGACATGCAAACTCGCATTAGGGTGGATCCTGAGTGATGGTGGTGACAGTTAGGAGGCTTGGAGAGATGCAGTAAGGTAGGGAAGGGGTTTCCAGGTTATGGAACAGGGGCGGCAACAATTATGGGCGGTTGGAACAGCAGAGTAACAAGGGAAGGCGTTGCGTGCTGCAGCAGCAACAGTAACAGTGGAGGGTTGGGACAGTGAGGGCAGCAAGGATGGAGGGCTGGAGCGAAGATGGAAGCGAGCATGGTGCGGTGGAACGTTGTTGGCTGTCGGAAACAGTGGCTGGCAGATAATTTGGAAAGAGGACAGTAGGGATTGTGAAAGGGAGGTGGCTGGAAAGAGAACTGCAGGAAAGAACAACAACGACGAGTCTCCTAGACAGCTGCAGCGGGGAAAGGTGGTAGCGAAGTGCATGGTGCGGGGAAGGAATAGTTGAGGATAAATACTCCCTCAGGAACGAGCAACAATCAGAGTATCACTCGACTCTTGGAAGAAGGTCACTACAATTGGAAGACTTCCTCGTTTTCAGATACAACCCTAGAAGGGAAACACCGAACCCCGGCAGCTATCCTAACAGAAATCTGAGCCAAAAACTAAACTTAGAACATCAGAAACACAAATATATAATAAGAGGGTGTGGCCCAAAGCGGACAGGCCGACTCCTCAAAAGGAAAAAAACTTGGACCGAACCGGTCCAGACGAAATAATGGGTTGTGCGGAAATGATCGTGTGCGGCACTTGTCGCGCCTGCGTGGGCCTGGGCGCCCCCACACCAGGCATGGCATCCCCTCATTATTATTATTATTATTATTTGGTGTAGATTTTTGATGTGCTGGTCAGGTGATTTTGCAGTTTCCTTTGTTTTGCTGCTAGATTTTAACGATGATCATAATCATCATCAGCCTCATCTTAATTATTCAATGTAAATCCCGATTCCCCATTCATGCATGATGCTAAAACATCCAATGGATGAAAAGGCTAATGCGTTGAAGGCCAGCTCAGATGGACCTCAAATCAGCTAAGTAGGACATGTTTTAGTAGAAGGCAATAGTGATGGTAGCAGGTTAACAAAAACTTTGGCCTTTGAAACAAAGCTGCTATTGAAAGACCAATACCACTAGTTTTATAATACTTGCTGCTTTGTCAGCAAAGACCAGAAGAAGCACAAACAACAAATGCTAATTCGAGCTGTCAAAAGGTAGAATACTGTAGCAGTCAAAAAGCAAAATATGGAAGACTTTTATTTCAAGGAAGAGATGTGATAGTGCACCATTGATATAATAACAGCATCAGCCTCCCGTCCTTGAAAGCTATCAATCGTTGTAACTTCAACACTAGAGGCTTCTGGAAATATATCTAGTCTATCCCTCAGAAGTTTTACTTGAGCAATATATGGAGATTGAACAGCTATGGCATTTGGAGAGACTCCTATATTCAAAAAAAGCTGATCACTATGTAATCAAACAATTAAATGTAGTAACATTCAGAGGGAAAAAAAATTTTTGAACTGATCAAAACACATATAAATCACGCTGTATTGAATTCACCTGTATAGGTGATGGGGATATAGATGGATCTTATATAATGGGGGATTTACATAAATAGCACTCAAAACATTTTTATTCATATATATCGCCCCTAAATTTTTATATTTACATATAAACTCCCTAAAATCACTTCCATTTTCTTCTCCCTTTTCTCCTCTTTAAATAAATCTTATCAAATCCCTGGTAGCTGCTCATCCCCACTACTCCCATGCGTGCCTAGGGATGCAACGGCTGGCATTTTATCTTACAACCCATTTCAAATGATAATAATATAATGAATTTTTTATATACATAATACCTTCTTCCTCCCATTCCCATTAGTTCCAGCAAACGCTCATGTTAACCTCTCTCTGGATTGGCACTGTGAGCAGCAACTTGCTGCGACTTATTAGTTTTTACTGGTGTTGCATGAGTTCGGCGATAGGAAGAGCAAATTAGGCATGGGGAACAAAGGGGAGACGGTATAAATAATGGAAGAGAAACGGATGCTGTTTTTGTAATTTTTAAGATGATTTTAAGTGCTTTCTATGTAAATATAAGGTATAGATGTGAGATGTGAAATGTTTTGAGTGCTATGTATGTAAATCCCCCTATAATAATTTGGATTGAAGACTAATGTGATAAGGAAACTTTAGCGATTATTCACAAATTTGTGTGTATAATATTTCAGAAAGACCAGAAAGAAAGAATGCCTACCAGAATAGATTAGATTGAAGACATGCTGCACAACTATGTCTGCTTCACCTTCATTATAGAAGGAGCCTGTACCTGCTGGATCCAAATGTTCCTCGCATCCAGCATATAAACTACCATAAGGCATTCGTGTATCAAGTAAGAGCAGAGGACACTGTGTTATCCATGTCACCTAATCAAACCCAATGTTATTGTTCAATTGTAGAAAGTTTAAGCTCAACAAATTATATCTCAGAACTAATCTGCAATTATGAAAATCAGCGTCACAACATTAATGATTATGCCAGAGATTGAAAAATAAAGCAGCTGAGCACATGAGCTGATTCCAAGTTTCTATCAATTCTGCTATTGAGCTACATGAGAAGTGAATATGGATACAAAGCTCTAATTACACGGTCAAACATGCTCCAACAAAATAAAAAGGAATTTATGATTTCTTCAAATTTTCATCCCTCAGGTTCAACAATGCATAAAGGTGACTCAATAAGTGAAATATAAAGTGCTAAAATCCACCTCAGTGAGTATTTTGTAGCAATCTAACGCCCGTCTCTATCTCACAGGTTCATGCACACGCACACCCGTCCAAACACATATTACAAAGTTGTTCATACAACCCAGAATTTGGTAGATAGCTTTTTATGATAAGTCTATATATTTAATTATGATTTAAATCGAACTAATATATTTGATGAACAGCTCTACGCCAGTTCATGTAAAGTTAGTTTTAAGTTAATTTATTTAGATAAATAACAAGTACGAACCAAAATTTTAAAGTTTGACATAAGAAATAAATAAACTTGAATATTAGCTCACTTGTTTATTTACATTCATTAATATGCTTTTTGTGTTATTTAACTCATAGTTTACTGAGAACTAAATAAAATATTGAGTTGATAATGATTTAATGATTTTCTTTATTGCTTCTTCAGGATTATTATATCAATTTTCTTATATTTTATGTACTTCGAAATTAATTTATATCACTAAGAGTATAAATATAATAAAAATATTGAGAAAGCAATTGAATGGATAAAATTCAAAACCTAATTTCATTTCTACTAGCATGTGATGCTAAAATATTTAAATTTTTTTAGATATATATGTTAAAAATCTAGTTTTATTTCATATTTATCATTGTTAATGAGTATATTAAACTAGCAGCCAAGTAGATAGATTAAAAATCTAATTTTATTATTCATAAAAAATTAAAAATAATGCAGAGTGAATTATCAATCTTGATAAAAAAAAATAATGAATATGTGGCTGTTTATTTATGGCTACTCAGGAAAAGCGAGGAAAAGCGACCCCCTTAACCTTCACTTTCCTCAGGTGTAATCAAAATAGTTTTCTTGGATGAAGATTATAATTTTTTTAATCATATTTCTCCTAATAAGCTTATTTAGATTAGGGTCATGACTTTCACCTGCTCATGGGAGAGCACACTTGATTAAGGGGATTGATTATGCTCATATTTAAGGTTTAAATTTGGTAGTTCTATATGTGAATAAAACTGAATAGGAAATGAGTGTGGGGATGGAGATAGACCCGATCAAAATCTTATGGTTTTGCCACCCCAAGTATGCCATCAAATCTAATATAACAACTATAGGGAGATTTAAATTATAACATTTAAGAAGTCTGATTAATAATTACGAGTTAAATTCTCTCAGATTGTTCAGGTAGTCCAAGGTGGAGGATGTCTGTATTGAAGACATGCTTTTGAAATTAACGTTGAATCATACACTAATAAAAAGCTTATTACATCAGCTTTATTGAATACTTCAGAGTTGCACAACATTGTCATTTGAGGTTCGGAGGTACAATATATGACCAATAATAGGTTCTTAAAGGCATAACATGACTGTCAGTTATCCAGGAGTTTTATTTCAACTCAAATAAGTAAATTTAAGAAATATGGAATTTGATCAATGGATTTTGTTTTAATTGATGGGCTTGTTAGCTTGGGACACAACACAAGTTTAGTTTGAGTTTGGGCTTTACATCTCCTGGAAAGCTCATATGTGAAACTTACAACTTCAGGGATAAGAAAATCATAATAATGGATCTTGTGGTCTTACTCTAAACAACCTGACCTATTAGCATTACGTTGATTCTATTAATTAAGATGGTGCTTGTTTGCTTAAGTTAGTATCTTAGTTGCAAAGTCAGCCAAGGGCTGGGTGTTACATTCTTGGGAAGCCTAATTTTTTATTTAATGAATTTTTCGGCTTTCTATCAATCTAATTAATAAGGTTAGAGCTTACATCTATGGGGAGGCTAATTGTACATAGTTGAGATTTTTTACCTATGTTTGATGTTTGGAATTAGTATTATTTAAAGTATGAGACTTCTTATCACTCTACTTGTAAATTTTTAAGAATGTCAAGCGTTAAAGTTTTGATTACTGACATGCTTGCATATGGAACTTATGACTAAGATGTTGGAGTACACGTATTGGTAAATCTTATAAACTTGCCTTGTAGTAGGCAGCCCAGTGGTAGTCTTAACTATTGACATGCTTGCATATGGAACTTATGACTAAGATGTTTGAGTCTACATATTGGTATATCTTATGATCTCGCCTTGCAGTGTGTAGGAAAGCAGCCCAATGTTGTGCTCTTAAATCAACTGTTTGTAAGAAAATAAGACATGAATTCTTATGTGTACGGTCGAACCGGTTGGCATCATGATTTTGAAGACAAATCTTATAGATTTTTATGATCAATCGGATTACCTAAAGGTATGTAGATTTTGGGATCATTTAAGAGCCCTAAGTGCATTATGCTTTTTTGAATTCAGCGGCATGGATATCAATTTGCTAGCATATAACTTGTGTTTATGCAATGTTTATATATGTTATGATGTCCATGATATAGTGCTTTCGTTCTAAATAATAACAATTTCAATGATCAGGATATCACCCAAAATATGTTATCGGTGTTGAAATGGCGTAAAAACGACAACTAGTGCTACCTAATGACAATAAAGTTACCCCTAGATTTTTGGTCAACCATAGCCGTCAGTGATACACATTCATCTCACTGATCTTAAATAAAAGGTTGACGACCAAAACTTCAGCCAGATTGAAAGATTAAAGGCACAAAAATCTTCAAGCTTTGATTAAATTGAGGATTAAAGGCATGAAAGACTTTTTAAGATTCTGACAAGCTAGAAGATCAACGATGGAGCCTTCCAATTAATTGAATAAAAAAAATCGATGGTTCTATAATTTTAAATTTATAAAAATCTTATTTCAAGCTTGTCAATCATGTTCAATGTCAACTCGATAAAAAAAATAAATGGCAAACAAGAAAATCATAGTACTCAGCTCAGCTGCATTCATTTATAATTCTATTTTCAATTGTTTTAATTAAGCAAATATGGCATCTAATTTTCCTTTCTAAAGTAGTATTTGATAGACAATTAGATTAATTATGAGAAGTAATGCAACTCCACCAACATATAATTTTGATGCTAAAAATGAGCGGCATGATGTTCTAAAACTATAGAAGACTGTGAACTTAAATAAATAACTTGGGAATTACTCCCCTCATAGGGAGAAAATATTATATGAATGCATTGATAATGGAAATAATGGCTGTTCAACTAAAAAATAGAGCCATCTACTATGACAACCCAAGAATAAGATCCAGAGAAAACTTACATGCTTAACATAAAATAAACTGGTATTGCAGAGTACTCTCCAAGTCTGACAACTACTTGCAAGACACAAGACAAAAAAAAAAAAAAGTACCAAACTCTTAGCTACGAGCAACTTGTGGCAGACAAGTCATCCCATGAAATATCACCTTGGCTGACTACGCCAAATTTGGTAATGAATTATGTTATTTCACAAGAACAAATAATTGAATCATGTATAGCGCCTCAAGTGACTTCTTAGTGTGATTGATCGGACTGAGAAGCCAGTTAGGAATGAGATGTTTGAAAAAAAATACACAAACGTTAGTCATCATATAGACCAAAGAGGCTCTAAATGACATAAGATATGTGGATAAACTCATCTACACCAATAATGTAAGACCAAAAGATCACCTTAGGAATGATTTGAGCAAGCAATACTCACAAGTAGACTCTAGAAAACCTATTAGGCAAACCAAAACCGATAACTAGCCTGGCACTAACAATCAGGCACCACAAACCTCCCTACCAAACTCTAAGGGGCTGTTTGGAACCTTTTTTTTTGTTTTCTGTTCAGAAAATAAAACAAAAAACATGTCTATTTGTTGTTTTTTCAATTTTTTTTTTTATTTTGTTTTTTCAAAAACACAAAAGAGGAAAAATCTATTTTATATGTTTTCAAAAAAGCTCCACCCATCACGATCTCAATCCACCACGACCCCGGCACCTAGTGTCTTCTTCAAAGCAGACGTCGATGCCTTCTTTGTTGGTAAGACCGATACCTTCTCTGATAGCTCCTTTTCACTCACATCTCCACCATCTCCAACTTCTCCCTCTACTACTTATCTCTTCTTCTCGGCCTCACCACCCTCTTTATGTCCATTACCTCCGTTCTCACCGCCATATCCCCCAACATCGCCGCTTACGATGCCCTCCGATTCACCTACGGCTTCGCCCACACGAACATTGGCGCTGCCACGTTTGTCCTCTCCTCCGAACTCATTTCCCGCCTTCACCGCAACTTAATCAACATCCTCAACTTCTTCTACACCAAAGGCTTTCACTCCCTCCCCGCCATCGCTTTCCTCAACAAAGCTTCACGGAGATCTTTGTACCTCTACACCTCAATTCTTTGTTTCTTCTACAGCATCATCCTCCATTTCTCCATGAAAGAATTCGCCTGCTGGATTCTAGTAGAAGGAAGAACAGAAGAAGCCATTGAAACACTTAAAAATCTCACCTTTATCAAGAAACAGAGCTCCTCCGATTTAAAAGAGATCAAAACCACAACAACAGACAATGATATGTTCTCAGTGGCACAGATTCTGAGAGGCCATGGACTCTCCAGCGACTGACAGAGATTTCGGCAATGAGCTTCAGAATCGGCATGGTTTACTACGGCATGTCGTTAAACCTCAGTAACCTCGGCACTAACCTTTACCAGAGCACAGAGCTGAACGCCGAAGCCGAGCTGCTATCATCGCTGGTTTCATTTATTCTCCATTGGATGAAGGAAGAGGAAGAGGAGGAGAGAATAATTATCTTCTATTGTTTTTGTTTTTTCAAATATACTTTTTATTTTTAAAAATCTAAAAATCATAAAACTTATTAATCGTATTTTTATTTTATGTTAAAACAAAAACAAAACGAATTAAAAGCAAAAAATAGAAAATAAAAAACAAAGTGATCCCAAACGGCCCCTTAGAATACTAGGCCCTACTTTAGCATGGATTGAGAACACCAACTTTCTAAATTGGATGGGATAGGGGATGCGATAAAGACATATGGCACCTATACACAAAGTCAGCCGAGCTTCAATCACACATAAATGGGCATGCACACTGCCTGCAATAGAAGTAGTTGACAATGGCAAGAGAATACCTCATGAGTGACTCAAGTGGGACGGAGTTTAGAAGCTCAAAGATTGGATCTGACATTCCTCATTTTCACCAGAATATGATTAACTTTTTGTAAACACAAGTTGTATATGCCAAAAACAAACGGAACTGAAACACCAATGCAAAGAATGGAGCAAATGTCCCTCAACATAGAGAGTGATCCCATATCAAATAAGTATAAAAGGAAGATGCAATTCTTGGGTGTGAACAATGCAAGAGTTTTCTTCTTTGGTGCATAGACAGTAACTGACGTTGGAGCTCACGCTTTCGTGATTTTCCCGCAAACACATAAAAGCCGGGATCCCGCAATCCCCGCCAGAGTTCCCGGATGGGAACTGCGAATTCCCGTGATCGGGGGAAAACTCTTGCGCCTGTGACACCATTCCGTTATCCATTTCAGCTTAATTTCTTTACTTTCTGATTTTTTTTTCTATTTCGGTATTTGTAATTAAGTTCTATTTTGAAACTTTTATATAGGTTGTATTTTTTCTGTTTTGAGAGATTAGCTTGAGTTATGTATTTTGAGAGTTTAATCTCTAGTTTTATGCTCTGTGGAGTATGTGTCATTTACATCAGCAACTGTTGTATTTGTATCTTGCCTAAGACCGGCGGTGTATCCCCCTCGACATCCGCAGCTCATTGTTTCATCATTCGGCGGCTATTTGGTCGTTGTTTTCAATCCAGACAGCCGTCGGATTCCTCCAACTGCTGTCCAATAGCAGGTCCTATCTCACCTCCCCCTCTAAACATAGTCAAACTCCTATAATTTATTCCAACGCTATTCGACAACCACTTCCCTGTTAAATCCCCTTCCTAAATTCTTTTTAGATGCCCTAAAATGATGTCATTTGGTTTCAAAACCCGGCAAGCCCTAGATTTTTAAGATTTGGTCTTCCTTGCCCAAAACCAAAATTCAAATTAACCTAACCTAAGAGCCCCACAAAAAAATCCCCAAATCATTCCTACCATTATTCTTAACCCTAACCCTAAATTTTCAAAATTCAATATTTCTACCTCCACCAAAATTTCACTCCGACACCCACTGCCAAAACCTAAACCCAGACTAACCTTGTATTGCAATCCTACATCCGTCGGAAACCTGATTGGGAGAAAATGACGTTTATGCCGCCAAAGAGAAACCCTCAGTGAGGTGTCCGAAAACTTACTGTGGAGAATATATGGTGAAAAAGCTTCCAACTGCAGTAGAAGATTGCCGCCTTTGAGAGGAGGCAATCAGATGAGATCATCCATAGCAACATCGGTGACTCCCCAGATTGAAAGCAAGAAGTGAATCTCTTCTGCCAGACAGTTTTCATTGACAAAGAACCAATACCCCGACAATTTGACATAACATATCAGAGGAGAAGTCGGGATTTTAGAGTGAAGATTGATGAGCTAGATTTTGACGGATGCATGGATCCAAACGAATTCATTGAATAGCTCCAGGCAATGGAACAGGTCTTTGAATACAAGGATATTCCGCCGGATAAAAAGGTTAAACTAGCTGTCATTAAGTTTAAAATGAGTGTTTCTCTATGGTGGGAGAATCTGAAGATACTTTGACAGCAGGAAGGGAAAAAATAAAATTATTACCTGATCCAAGATTAAACGATAGATATAGTGCAAGTACTTGCCAATACCTTACAGATAGGACATGTTTGTGAGGCTTCATCACTTTCAGTAACAAGATCTCTCGGTAGAGGAGTACACCATCGAGTTTGAACAGTTATGTCGCAGTGCGATCTTGTGGAGCCCGAGGAGAACACCTTAGCTCGATATTTGGGAGGATTGATACCATCAATTAATAATGTGATATAGCTATAGCTCTATTGAACATTAAAGGATGTTCAAACTCTAGCTTCAAGCAACGTCATCAGGTGACATTCACACATTACAAACAGAGTTCAACTCCAGTACCAGACAACAACAGTACACCCAGTGAAGCATCCTAGTCGACCCCGCACATGGAAAAACTAGTTCGTAATAGAAAACAAGCGGAACCAACTAGCACTCCCAGATCCATCCCAGCCAAGAAGTACTTCAAGTGTCACAATTTTGAGCACAATGCATTAGATTGCCCAAATAAGAGAATGATTTCTTTTTTACTGAATAGGAAGCAGTTGAAGAAATGGACAATGTCATGGGAGAGGATAAAGACATCATAGAGGCGTCTCAACTTCCAGTCGATGAGAAAGAGCCGCCAGTGATTCAAGTTGAGCCCATGAGAAAGATTTCAATTGGATTAATTTTTATAGAAAGTAGTGAGTCCGAGGAGTCGATACAAAAAAAGAGGCAGCCTTTATCGAGGGAGCCACCGGACATCCTGACCAATAGTTTGTCACTTGGGTGGTTGCCATTGAAAGTTGTCCAACATGCCAAAGATTTCATTCCAGAGTTAGTTCATCCAATTTATTGAATGAGCTCAGTCGAATACGAGAAGTGTATGAAGCAGGTGGCATATTTAATGGCTCGAGACTTGAATCGTGAGAATAATCGTCTATATGCAATTCCAACTCTGATTGTGCCAAAAAAGATTATTATTTATTCTATCAAGACATGTTTAAGAATATTGTATATATTTTTAAAGTTACATGAAATGGACGTTAGCATGGATTTTGCAATGGGATTGCCTTAGACACAGCAAAAAGATGATTTTATTATGGTGGTGGTAGATCGATTCCATAAACTTCTTGGGAAGAAGTCGAAGCTTCTCTTACCAAAGGAGAATTATGCGGGAGCTCCCGTTTTTACGATTTTTTTGTGGAAACAATGAATAGAAAATCCTGCGATCCCGGTTGGGGTGTTCGAACGGAACTGCAAATTCCTATGATCATGGCGAAACTCTTGCATCTAAAACACATTCTCGTTATCTATTTCAGCTCCAATAGCTGTCCAACAGCAGATTTTTTTCTCTTCTCCCCCTCCAAACGCCGTCAAACTCCCATATTTCATTCCCTCGCTATCCCATAACTACTTCCCCACTAAATCCCCTTCTAAATACCCTCTAGTAGCCTTAAAGTGGTATAAATAACCCTTGCAGTTGTGCAACTCCAACATCCATAAAAGTTTTTTTCTCTTTTTTTTCCCTCATATTTTATCTGTCTTTAGCCCTCTTTGAAGCACTTGATCGAGCTGCTCTCCTCCCTTAAAAAAAATTTATTTGTTCACTATTTCGAACCAATTTAATCTACAGTGTGTACACCCATATGTATATGTACAGTTATGTTATTCATCTAATATTTTTATGGTCCAATGCAGAAGAGTCTTCTAAAATTTATTCTAATGAAAATAGGAGAGGAAATAAAACAGTAGAAATCTGAGCATATTTTCAACAAATGCAGTAGCAATTAAGGTGGCAGATTTGAATTAATATAGCATTATGTTGATTCAAAAAGTGGAAGGTACTAAACTTTAAACAGACCTTGACAAATGGAGAATCAACAAGAAGATGTGAAGCAACTGATGCAGAAGACTGCAACATTCCACCATACATCTCCTTTGACGCCCAACTGCAAATTGCTTCATTCATTCGATATTGAATGGTCAGTTTTGTCACTAGAGCACCATCATGCAAAGTTGATGCTCTCTCCAGTAGCGAAATGCCAAGTCCACCATCCATGGCATTCTTAGAGAGAACCACTGGAGCAAGCTGGCATTGATCACCAGCTAGTATGCATCGTTTTCCCTGCAAAATTGGAATCCAGCAGGATGGTTCAATGGCCTGCCCTGCTTCATCTATAACAACTAGATCAAAGCTGTTCAGTCTTCTAATAAGGGGGTCACCAGAACCTGTATTAGTAGAAAGTACAACCGAGGACCTTGAAAGTACTTCCTTAATCGTATCTCTTTCTTTCCTTTTCAAAGTTCTCCCAAGTTGTTTTAGAAGCTGACGTATACCAGCTGCTAGAGAATCGTTCTTTAAGCAGTGCTTGAGGTCTTTCCTTAGATCTGACTTCCGCCTCTCGAATTCCTTTCTAAAGACTGCAAGCTTGTCGTTCACAATCTGCCCTAAAGATTTTGAAGCAACAGATGCAGACATTCGAGCAGGATTTCCAACACGTACAATGTTCAACCCCATGTTTGAAAGCCTTTCCACCATGTTATCCACAGCTGCATTTGTAGGAGCGGTCACAAGCACACGTTCACCCTGTCTAACAGCTAGACTTACCAGTTCTGTGAGCAGACATGTCTTTCCAGTACCAGGAGGCCCTTGTATCACCAAGAAAGGCCGCTTCTTGTTCAAACCTAATGCAATAGCTCTTATTTGAGACTTATCAAACCTTTCCTCCCTTATTAAAACATCAATATCTGCTTCACACCATTCAACAATCTTGTTCTCCTCCAGCCAAACTAGATCTTCTTTTTCTCCAAACAGAGTTGCAACCACTGCAACTGAGGGATTCTTTTTATGTAAACCACTCTTCTGAAGAAGCATTAATGCTTCACAATTGCGCTGTCAAATGGGATGCATATAGAATCATGGCATGATCATAAACATTCAGGTATAATGGTGACTTAATGAATTAATGGAGAATTCACCAAAAGAATCTTATAATAGTAGAACAGAAAAAGTGGCATAAGTAATTAAACAGAGTATGAACCAATAAAGTAAATTAGACAGCTTATTGTTGTACATGAAATTCCATTTGTCTACCTTGTAAATTCATAATCATTGTCATCATTCTTAGTCTTATCCCGAATATTTGAATTGAGTGCATGAGGTGTTAACTATTGAGCATAAAAAGCTTAGGATTCTAATCTATTTGTCTTCTTGCACAGTTTAGCATTTACACTTCCTGCATGTCCCTTTCCCTCCCCTCATTCAAATTAGCTCTCCATAGATGTATTATCAATGTGTATCTTCTGTTGACCATTATGTAATATTTTTCATCGCCCATCTTAATAGATACTACTCGTACAATCTATCTAATATTCTGTTGTAATTATTTCTCACTCCATTCTTCTTAATTTTTCCATATACTCGTCTTAACATTCTTTTTTACATCATATCTAACTTGTCCTGCTTAATACAATAGACAGGAGTAAATGATATCAATATCACATGTAAACATGAAATTTCTCATAGCTCAACTAATGAAAAATTAATGATGATTATTAAGGCATGCCTCAAACTTGGCGGACCACGCTCAACTTGTTTAACAAACCACCCTCAATTCTTTTTCGGATGCAGTACCTCCCCAATCATAACAACATGAAAAAGTTTAGATTGAGATGCATATCACTTAATTAGCACTCAACCAGCCAAAAAAGAAACAATAGCATGATATTTTTCCTCTAGTAAGCAACAAAAGTCAATCGAAATCCTCCAAAAGAAACAAAGTTTATTATACATTTATAGGGAGACTACCATCCTCTTAAAAAACTTAGTAACTTTATCCAGAAAGTAGTTAAAAAATTATAGATATACTAAAAAGCTAATAAAATTTTGTCTTCTAGCTATTTGTTACCCCAATCAATTCAAAAAACTGGATGAGGGTTGAAGATATATGAGGACATACTGGATGAGGGTTGAAGATATATGAGGACATAGGCTATTGACTCTTATCCTTTTAAAATGATAATAGACTATCAGCTCAAAAAAGGTCACGAAACTTGAAATAAAAAAAAAATCAACAACAAAAATACATCTAATGGAAAAAGAGCATCTAATGTGATACAGGGCTATTGAACACAAATAACTTTGGCTACTGGTAAAAGGCATATGGATAATCAGGTGTTCTCGTTTTACCTCGTATGTTAGTGCATCAGCCAAACCATGAATGCGGTCCATACGGACACTCTTACCAAATAACTTAGAAAAAGTAGGATCTCCATGGCGAGACTCAAGTGCCACAGTGATACTGTATCCATCTTCACCAAAACTGTTAACAAAGCCTTGCATGCATGAAGTCGCCCCAACACCCCTACTAGTGCATATTCTAATGCAGACCATATCACCCGGCGAAAGAGTAGTAGGGGGCAACCTATGGTTACCTTCAACTCTAAATAATACTAAATGCATGCCTCCAAGTCCTGTACATAAAGATAAGAGGAAATTAATTATAGGAAAATGTAGAGAAAAAGCAATGCAAAATTCTGATACCAGATTAAATGTTAATGGCTCGTATGGATGCAAGAAATATGGAATTCAATGTTAGTCACTAGATCATAACAAAAGAACTGGTGAAAGAAGGTGGTTAAACTAATTGATAATAACATTTTGTAGCATTTATCAATGGTATAAAACTTGAGTGGATAAAATGATTATTGATATAGAGTTGGTGAGAAAAAAAAAAGGTGACTTGGGGTTGAGGCAAGCCGGTCAAACCAGCTAGCAGATGGACCGGGCGAACCAGGTCTGAGGAGACCGGTCCCGATCAGGACTGAGTGGCATCTGGCGGTCTCAACTCCTACGAGACCGAGCTGCAAATTGAAGGGAATGCAATGCCGCCAGCCCCCTTTCTTCCTTTATTTTTTGTCACTTCTCAGTTCCTTTCTTGTTTCTTGCCTGATGGAAGTATATTTATTTGCTTGTTGCTGGAATTAGGATTAGGTTATGTTTGATTATTTTTTTTTCAAATTCTGTGTGAAGTCTCTTCTTCCCTTTCTAGGGTTGTATCCGATGATGGGTGGTGCTTTAGCCTTATCCTACTCCGAGGAGGTGTTGTATCATCTCCTATCTTCTTCCCTACCCCTTCTCCTTCACCTTCCTTAGCCGCCGTCCACCCATTTTCTTCGAGCTACGCTACCGCCCCCTTCAACTGTAGCAAGCATGTTGTCCAGCCCTCCAATTCACCTCCCAACAACTTGTTCCCCCTACCCTTGCAGCTGTCATAGTTGTCCAGCCTTCCCGACCACCCTCTTGCATCTAGCCGGCCCTCTAGCTGTCCGGTCCGTCCTTCCATCACCCAGTACCCTTCCCCTTCTTTCCC